AGCGGCGCCAGTGGTATTTAGGGTGTGCCGATGCTTACGCCTACGATTAAAAGTGTCAATCGGTTGCTCTTCATCTTGAAAATTATGAAACATTAACGGTTCAACTGTTACGCAACCAAATAATTGAGTAGTACTCACAAATGTTCTCAAGTGATAGTAACACCATCATCAGATGTCGTTATCACTGGACCCTCTTTCCTAGACGGGCACATCATCAGTTGAGAATCCCAAATTATTGGCGGTCGGATGAGCTTTGACGTAAATGTCAACATAAAGTAAACTTGATCTTCCCCCGAATTGTAAACCTTGCTGGGTAGCGGTCGTAATCTATACAATAGTCGTAATCATAAATACGTAAATGCCACAGGAGGTAAATTCGGTTGGTAAGTGCTATTATCAGTCGCTATCAGCTGTCATCAGTTCCTATCATCGGTCGTCTACGACCCCACCATACTCACATCACACGCCAAACTGTCAAGGTTCCACTATTAGTGGCTCTACGCTTTCGAGGATTTTCATTAGCCCTTATCAGTTTTATCAGCTCCTGTCCTTTCACCAACCCACCGAGTACCTACGATCCTGTCACATCTTACATACCCTATTAAAATTCCAAGATTCCATCATTAAGGGAAAGTGTGTTACAAATCTAGTGGCTCTCGCCTTTTATGGTTTCTTATCAGTCCCTATCACTTGCTAACATTCCCTGTTACCAAACATTTGCGGTCCCTTCACATCCCACACCACCTCTCAAAGTGCCAATGTATCGCCGTTAACATGAAGGGAGTTACATACCTAGATGTTTTCGCCTTCTATGGCTTCTTATCAGTCCCTATCACTTGGCATCATTCCCTGTCCCCAACCATAACGGTCCCTTTACATTCTACATCAACTGCCAAAGTGCCAAGGTTTCATAGCTAATACAAAGGGAGTTACGGACCCTGTGGCTTTTGCCTTTAAGGCAGATAAGGCTTTTGCCTTATCTGCCTTAAAGGCACTAAATAGACTATTTATAACACTAGCAAAATTTGCGCAACTTTCACCTCATCATACTCACAATCAAACCAAAAGCCGAACTCTTTCCATGAACATGTGGAGCTGAAGACTGATGATTTACAGTGTTTATGGTGTTGAACTATTCACAGCTCGCAGCATAGGGAGAAAAATCGAAAGAAAAGAAAAATCGAAAGTAAGGAATCATTATATTTAGTTTCAAAAAATTCGATATCGACCGGGACAAAATATGTATTGCTGGTGATAGTGCTGGTGGAAATATGGCAGCTGTTGTCGCGCAACGATTTGTGAGGAGAAATGAACACTACATAAAGGTGGGAAGAACTGCTCAGTATTCATTTTCACTTTATGGAACGCAAAAAAGTATGGGGTACTTCGCAATACCCAGGCTCGATTACTCACGTATATATGACTTCTTAAGATAGCTTTCGTGATCAACCGTTTTCAGATGACTTTTGTATAAAAAGTAGACGACACTGGATACGTTCCGTTGCGCTGCCTGCTGGAGATTCTATCCTTGCTGGTTCATTACTGAACGACGCCGCTGCTTTTTTTTGCAGTTTTCTGTCTCATCCCTCATGATCCTATCCAAACTTCTCATTTCCTCGGTGCTACCTACGGAAAAATCCAAAAGACAAACAGCCTCGGCTTACCTTTGTCTAGCATTGGAACCCACGAAATTCGGATCTTCTGGAGCCTTTTAAAATCTTTTAGCATCGAAACTTTTACTGTACGAATTCGTCCCTCAATCATTTCTGAGCTTTTTGTAACAGATTCATTGATATACCCTTGAAGATACTATTTCAGTGCCAAGTACTTATCTATCCAGTTATCCACGTGTTTGGATTTTGCTTACCTTCTTTTCAAGAATATTATGAGAAGTAGGTTCGTTCGTTCTCTATAGCTATCCAATGGTCGGAAGATCTACTGATTCCATTTCAGTTATGATGCTGTTCTCAGCCCTACTGAAATGGCAAGGATGATGTTGCATTATTTGGGTATGCCAGCAACCCAGAGAAACATCGAGTTGCTCATCGCTGGTCAACATATTCCAAAGTAATTTTCACGTAGTTCAAGTTAAAGCTCACGAGCTTTTGTTCATTAAATGCTATTCCTCTTTGCTTTCGCACATTCATCTCACATGCACGTGAAGATGAGCAGTAGGTGTAGGGTGTAGACTGGTTGACTGTTATTCATAGTCGAAGAATCTTGGAGAAAGCGATGCAGGAAAATCGAGATCCGCATAACTTTAGATGCGGTTGTGTGGTTACTGGGAAGTAGGATGAGAAATTCGTTTTTTATGGTTACTGACCCATTCCGTTCTCTCGGTTTTAGAATTCTGTATTTCCACAAGTCTACGATCCGCGATAGAACATAGCAGCTTTGTGCAACCTCACAATACTCTGACTACCACTCGGATCGCCCGAACAACGCCAGACGCTTCTTTTCGTATAGAAATGGCCTGTCGCCTACGTCCCCTCTAAATTCGCATGCTCTGGTAGGACAAAAGGTAAAAGTTTTTTGACTGAACACAAGCAATTGTCCTGCCACCTACCAAAGGTATTCCCATCTTATTTCCTGTGCTCCTTCCAGACTTGAACGCTCTAGAACCGAATTAACATCTTCGCGCTAGCTTCGCCTCGTGGAGCTGTGTCACCCACCATAGGTTTACACACCCTGCCAACTGTACTCACACGAAATTTGAATACTCATGAATTTTTGGTCAAATATTTATTTCGCACACATCCCCCACCTCTGCGGGTGGAGTCCCGTCCTGCACTACCCGCCATAAGTGTTCCCATCTTGCCGCCTGTACTGCTACCAAATTTGAATGCTCTAGGTCCAGTGGTATGAATTTCCTGTTAGACAAAGACACATACTTACGCACACCCACAAAGACACCAATAGATATACAATATCAATATATAATATATTTAAGTAGGATAAATCGTACCTCAGCCAATATGCTTTTGACGCCAATTCTGTGGTCTTTTTCATCAGTTTCGACCGTTTTTTCTGTTTCTTTTTCGTTTTTATGCTTATTAGACTTGATTAATTAGAATGACTCCTCCTATGTTAGCGACGATCAAGACCGCGCTGGAATTAAAGGGAGCGGCAAGCCAATTCAAATAATCAAAGGACTCCTTAACTCACAAATTGCGCGCTCCAATCTTCCATCGCAATCCTGCGATACGCGGCGGGTAGGTATGTGTACATACGTGCGTCCGAGGAGTCGCGCGGCAAATTGCGCGGAAAAGTTCACGGCGATTCCAACGACTCTTGCGCCTATTGTTGGGGCACAAACTTGAAGTAGAGTAGTTTAGTAGAGTTAGATGATCTTTCTTATCTACTCCACTCCCAATTTGGAACCAAATGATAGGTGCTAAATGTGACCGAATCGCCACGAACTTCGCCGCGCGCATCCTCGGGTATGTGTTCGAACCTGCGTCCGAGGATGCATGCGGCAAATTGCGCGGCAAAGTCCGCAACTATTTGAACGACTTAAGCGCCTATCATTGGCTGCTTTCATACTTCGACTTGCGCGCCG